TGCAGCAGTGTTGATATGTGAAAACAGTGCAAATTGCTGAGAATAAGGAATTAGGAGCTTCAATGTCACACAGATCTGAAGCAAAAAACCACACCAGTGTTCACAGTATTGTGCCTAAAGACAGTATTTATTCCATTCCTATGGCATGATCCTGTTTTAAATGAGCAGGCAGAGCGCTTGGCAGGTAAATGGCCTGGTCATGGACAGTATTAGCTACTGTGAAATTGAATTCTGCACTCGTGTGTACAATACAAACAGTAGTGAGCACACATGGAGTCTAATATTCCCAGAGAAACCAGGGCTGACATTTAACTGCCCCTGGGAGAAGAGGAGGAAATTAATACGGTGGGTATGGAAGACAGAGGCTTGACACAGCAAGAAGAAACAAGAGGCAGAGAAGAGGTGGATTACTGGATGGTGAGTCAGTGATATTTTTGTTGAGTTTATGCATGTGTTTATTTTCAGGGTGTGATATCCAAATTAAACATTAGATATACCTAAAGAATGGGTATATATACATACTGTTGAGTGTTTCCAGCTACTGGGATGCCCATGGACACACAGACACCACAAGAAACAACACTAAAAGAAGCCTATTAAGGATGCAAGGTCAGTTGTTCAGAATTATGACAATTGTAGCAAGCCTTTTTCTTGCTTTCTTTATGCTTATGCCTCATAACCCAGTTTTTAATTATGCACTAACAGGTTTTTTAACTTTTTTTTCTTCTGCAGGGCACCTGCCTCAGTCATTGCCCACAATGGGCAGCGTTTGCCCTAAGTACTATTTCATGGTTCAACATATGCGTTATTTACTGTGTGCTGTCCAGCCCCAGCTCTAAAGAATTGTTGCTTAGGATGCTGCCTGTGGAGCTCATCACCATCACATCTTGAGTGCTTCACAACATTATCCATAGCTTTCCAATCCTGAAATGTGCATAGTTCCCACAGAAAGAAGGTGATAGATCAGCAAAAGCCGAATGCCACTTGTATATTATAGGGTCTTCCACTGGAAATGCCAAGGAGCTGCTTTCTTCAGAGAGCTTAGTGTTATGCACTTCTTGGACTGTTCAAAGTAGATTTCCCATTCAGTTGCAGCTGTGGATACCAAATCCTGCATTTCAGACTTCCATGAAGCCAGGCTGTTGGCTCAGAAAGAGAAGAGCATGAAATTATGGACATTGGGGCTGAATGTGGGTTGGAGTGGTTTGCCTGGCATTCTGTGACTGAAGTCCATGTGGAAATCAGCTTCTCTCACAGCTTTCACTGTTTCAACCATTACATTTTAATTTCTTGTAATCTTCTGTCTCATTTTAGAGCTTCCAGCTCTTGGAAAGCTGAAGCATGGATGCAACTGACTCTATTCACCTTTGTTACACAATGCCAGGCTTTTAATTTATTTTTTTTTTCCAGACTGATACCCATTTGGGCCATCAGGACAGGTGAGATGTTTGGTGCTCACCTCTGCAGCCTTAGCTCATGAAATACCTGAACTGATCTCCTCCAGCAGACGCTTTGTTAAGGGTAGCACAGTGCTGCATCTGAGTATCCCAAATCTCCTGTCCTAGTAACTGAGGCATCTCAGGGTTATGGTGAGAGACTATACTCTCTAACACTGATATCTGTCCTACCCCCTGTACTGGCCAGAGACAGTTCTGTCCCTCCCTTCCAAAATCCCTTCTGGATTTGTCTTCATTTCCCCTAGTTCACCTGTTTGCTGCACTGATTCCCAGGCATTCCCCACCTGCCTAACCAGCTCTGTCTTTAGCTCTCAGTCCCAGTCTTTGCTTCCACAGTTGTTCTCAGTGTAGGTAATTCTCAGTCTTAGTTTCTCCCTATCTTTTTGTGACAATCTTCCCCCAACAGCCAAAGGTTTGTCTCCACTGCCTCCTGCGCCTCAAACTCTAACATGGGTACCCCTGAGTACCTGCAACACACCCTTTGCTTTTGCCAGTTCTTTTAGCACAACTTTTACTGGAGCCAAGGTGGGCTGATGGTCTCCTGGGGCTGATGACAGCCCCGTTCTTTAAAAATCATTTGATGAGCCATCAGTTCCATACGTCTCCCTTTCCCCTGAGCCTGTTTCTATAAGTGCTGCCTGGCTGCCGTGGATGAGATCTGAAGTTGTTCCCAAACCTGCTTCTCTCATCCTCTTAAATATGTAACTTGGCTGCCAAGTCGTGGATATGTACTTGGCAGCCGGCGATAGCAACTGGGAACACAACATACACAATATGATTGTCAAAATAAAGAGAGAGAGATGGCTGTGCAGAACAGAGCCAGAGCTGAGTTTTCAGGCTGATTTGAGATTCTTGCTTAGCTATCCATGAACTGATTGTGCTTGCATGGATAAACCTTTAAAGAGCACCTACACGAGAAAAGATGCAGTGTTTGGAAGGCTTTGGAAATGGGGGACGTTAGAGACAGGTTGCTTTGTGGAAATTTTCTTCCCCCACATTGTGTTGTCCAATTGTTCTTCCCATGTGGCCATGAACACCTCAGTGTTGTTTTAAGGAGTATATTCCCGTGTTGGAAACTATTCCAAAAATGAATGATGCCATTTTTTAAGAGGTGAAAGCAGAGGAACTGATCCATCTTACTGAACTGATCTGTCTAAAAGTCTTAGGTATTTTCATCCTTTCAGAGGGCACACTGGCCTAGTGAAGCAATATTTTCCTAGGTTGTGGCTGGTTTTCACCTTATAGCTGACCTGGTTTGTTGAGGTGTGGTTCTCTCCCCGTCCCTTTATATTTATCTGCATCTCCACTGGCCCTTCTCTGGCTCCACCATGAACTGATGTTAAATGCTAACTCAACTGGAAGATTCTCATTTATTTTTTGCTGCTTGACTATTTTGACAGTTTAGGGAGCCGCCTTGCTGTGGGGTCAGAGAAGATACAGAATCAACACAAAGGTAAATGATGGGAAAACTTGATGGAAGCTTCTTCCATCAAAAACTGGCCTTTAGGCTGGATTAGCTGTAACATGAAACCTCACCCTTCATGGGGACTTTACTTTTATTGACAAAAAGTACCTTTGTCAACATAACTTGTATAAATTTGGGTGTGATCTAAGCAGTACCAGTTATCCACAACACTGATCCGCTGTGAATGACGTGGGAGAGATTCTCTGCTTGCAGAAGCAAATGCTTCACAATATCCCAAAGATTCCAGACCTCAAAATCATGCCCTAAAGTGACCTGCCTTAGCATATGGGAATTATTTCCAGGTGTGGCTTCCAAATACGGAGCTGATGTTTTGCACAGGGACCTTGTGACCTGGTAGATATGCTTTTAAATCTGGTAAAGTCTGAAGGTAAAGTGTGTTTAACATCCAGACAGCTGTACTGACATCACTACCCATAACTGAGAGACCAGGACCAGCTGCCCTCACTACTGCTGGTCCTGGGAAATCCAGGAGAACCTCCACAGCTCCCGACCGTCAGAGCCACAGTAAACCTAAACAAGTGGCTGTGGAGATGTTATCACATGGAAAACACCTAATTTCGCTGTTTGGACTAAAATGTTACCCAGGGAAGCTGCTTAGTAGTGCTGGGAAGGAGCAGAGGACATTGGCCATGAGTCTGATCCACAGAGGAGTCTGAAGGGGGGTTTGCATGTTGGGATCTGTGATTCCTAGGGAACAGCAGATGGTCACCAGGATACGGCCGTAAACAGTGTCACCTTATCCCCTTCACTGATGGCACCCTCCCAGGCAGCACCTTGCCATCTATGAGTCTCCCTGCCTTTCCCAGCTCCATCCTGTTACTACTGTCCACGTTTGCCTTTGCAGCAGAACCCGAGGGCCACAGGAGGACCCATGGGTGGGCAAGAACTTGTCCCACTGCCCCAGCCAGGGAGCACAGTGATCAGGGACAGTCATTCACCCATTGGTATGAGTAAGAAGCAGCTGAGATGTATTTTGAAGACACAGGAGTGGAATTTTCTCCTTCCTGTGGTGTGCTGGTAGGTCTTGCTATGCTATATCACCACCTCTTCTGTTTTTCTTTCATGGTTCATAATCCCTGCTGTGTAACATAAAGGTACAGCATTTGTGTGGGCCTTTTCATCCAAGAGTTGTAAAACACTATTAGAAAGCTGGAACCAAAGACTAGAACAGACAAGTTGAAATAACCACTTTTTGTCAAAGGATTAGAGCCATGGTTTCCTAACATTCATCCCTGCGGTCTAACCATCACATGGGCTGCAGGCTGCTGACATGGAATTATTCTGCTGTCCCATATCCAGCCTCTACTACCAAATTAGATTGAGTAAGAATTTGTGAGAGCCTTCTGAGAGCTGAATGGTACGTGGCAAAAAGTCACAGGAAGCCTCAAAGTTTCACTAGATTTAAATTTGTAGGCAGAAGGATTTCAGCAATAAGAGTCATTTTGCTTTAAAGGTGACCTGCAATTAATAGTTAAGGGTTTGCAAGTCTCTCTTGTTAATTAAGAAAGACTAATAGACCTCATTTGTTTCCAGAGGATATTTTTGTTTGGAATTTTTAAAAAATATAGATGCTGTAAAGTGCTTTTACTAGTAGTTTTTCCAGTGTCCCCTGAAGAGTCTATCTGGTGTTTATTTAAAGTTCTCAGAATATCAGGAATGTACACAATATATTCCATTTTTAAATGAAAGCCTCCTTTCTCCCAGTACTTAGACTCTACAATTACATAAATACTATATAAAAAACACAAAAGCAATGTATTGTTTAATGCATGGCTCCATTTGATTTCTCAGTCTTCATTGATTCACTGTTAATCCAAGAACTGATGTTCCTTAGCAAACTTTCAATTATTTCAATTAATTCATAACCTGAAAGACAAAAAAAGGAGAAATACACATTTTTCTTTCTTACAATGGCAGCCTTCGAGAACTTCTGTTCAGATGACACACACACACAACATCTGGGGGAAGAGTGGACTGAAGAATGATAGAAAGTGGCTCATATGCACAGGATTTGCATTATAAATACTTTATTGGGCTGAGAACTTGAGCATAGATTTATGACATGTACTCTATATGCTGTTTTCTTGCAGATGATAAAACTAATTCAAGGTGAGTGGTACTGGAAAGATGATACTAACACCCTTGAATTTGCAAGGTAAAAGAATGATGTTCAGTTACAAATTATGCAGGATTAGGCCTTGATAAATACAGCAGTTCCAAGTAAAATCAAAGTCTAATATTTTTTTTACCCAAACAATCAACTGCGGGACAAGTTCTTTCGTCATGTTAATGGAGAAAATGAGAAATATGCATTTGCTGCATACTGGGCTCAAGATGGACTACAGGGAAATGATTTAAAGTGTGTGTGAGTCCTGCAGTGTGTCAGAAATGTGCCACACACTGGAGCAGCAGTACTGGACGTGAGAGTGGGGGTCCACAGAGTGATGTTCCCTGTTGCTGGTGTTATGTATGACCCTGTGCAATGGGGAGCACCAGAGGGCTGCAGAACTTTGGGGAAACCACAGGAAAAAGTGCCCTTAACGCTGCTTTGAGTGTCTGTGGCAGTTGTGGATTGGGACATTATCAGGCCTTTTTAACCACTGGGGCAAAAAAACCAAACCCAAACCCCACCCAAACTAGACCCCCCTGTGCTGTTCTCAGGGGCAGGGCGCTCAGGTGGAGCGTGGCAGCACTGGGTCACACACACTGCTCGATGCTGCCTCCTGCCCTGATGGGCATTTTCCAAGGCTTTGTCACGGTGGAGCCAGGCTGGTCATCTCTCTCTGGTCACACAGCTACTGCAGGAGCCTTTCATGGTCTGTGTCTCAGCAGCTTCAGCCACCTTCTCCACTGGGCTTGGGAATGCTGCCGACTCTGCCCAGTGGCTCTCCAGGGCGGGGCGTGGGCTCCCTGGTGACCTCTGCCTGGTCTGCCCTCAGTGATCCCAAAGAAGAGCTCTGGAATGGAGCAGTTTGCACCTAAAATCTTCCGAAAGCCACTTGAGACACCACTCGAAGGGTTTACGTGGCACAGTGCATATGGGGCAGGAGACAGAGCAGGAGGGCCCCAGGAAACCCCTTTGTTCTTTGCTTCTGTGTTCTTGAAAGCAACGTCTCACGCTGACCTTACCACAACCCAGATGTTTTGTCAGTGTCAGCTAGAGGCCAAAATAGCTGTGCCTTCATGTCCTGGGATGGTGACCTCTTCATACTGCTGCTAGTATTTTAAAATCAGATTACTGCTCATACTTTATATTTCAGCTCCAGTCCAGCAACTGAGGAAAACCTTAAGGAAGGAAAAAAATACCGGCTTTCAGGAAATGCGTGTGGAGACATTAAAGAGGTATTTCAACTCGACTAGCCTAGCTCAAAAAGAAACAAGATCATTTGTGTGGGAATATTTTCATCCATTGTCTGAGGATCATGTCTGAACAAAGCTCACGAAGCAGGAAGCCAGCTGTCATTTCAGCAGGGTGGATGAGTGGTCTGAACACAAAAACAGAGTCAGACATGCCTGGTGTTGAATGCTAGCTCAGGCACTAGCCTGGTATGACTTTGGTAAAGTCATCCAGCATCTTTGTTGCTGTTTGCAGTTCGCTCAGAACGAGGTAATAATTCTCATCTACTCCAAAGAGTACTGTGAGGTAATTAATTCATCTGTGTAACGCACTTCAAAGATTAAATTATTATTATTATTAATTTTATAAATTCACAACATGGTGTAGCTGACTTTCATCCATTACTTAAAACCTCTTTGATCTAAATAATGCAGTCGCAATTTATTATATTAGCAACTAAAAGAGCAACTTCAGACGCAACCTTAGAGGTGAAATGTCCTATTTCTCTCAACATCCCCAGCCTGGTTTGCAGTTTGAATAGTTGAAAGTTAGTTCAGGGTAGCTGCCAAACACATTTCACTGCCTGTCCCTTTCAAACTGAGTGCAATGAAAAGAGTATGTACCAGGCAGATAATATATTCAGACTGGAATAAGCACTGTGTCCTTGAATGTTATCTATTGGTCAACCAGTAGCATCTTCCAAGATTAGTGCTGGAAGAAGGCAGGCTGATAAAGAGGGAAAATTGCAAGGGCTGTCCACGTGGGTACAACAGGAATACGTTACGTTGGATGATGTAAAATGTGAGTAATTGCTCGTATTTTGCATCAGCAAAGCATTGCCCCTATAAGTTAGAAAGCTGTTTCTGCTGACACTAGCAATTTTTTTTTTTTTTAGGAAATACTGGTTTTCTCCTCTGTATGCTTTCAGATTTTTTACTTTTGAAAGAAGCAAATGAGCAAACATTACCATTTGCAGCAGTTATAAGGTGTGTCATGCAGAGTTTGTTTTAAGAATGATGTGTGTGTAGCTGGTAGGGGGGGGACCAGGGTGTTTGAGAAGCAGAATAGGAAATATTAGAGGTTTAAAATCTCTCATCTGTGAGGTTCAGTGGGAAACAGTACCAAATGCATGTAGTCCTCAACACGTGCAAAGAAATAATCCTATCACCTGTTTGAAAGCCTTCTGTTCTGTTATTTAAAGGAAGACAAGAATTTGGGCCTAAATATCCAAAGTTGTTTTCCATTTTACTTTCACTTAAATTCCATGTTAGCTAGGACATCCACAGTGCTGCATGCACCAGGAGTGCTAATGTGACTGTGCTGCTGCTGTCCCCATCAGAGCTAATATTTTATATAGTGCAGCCCCTGAGCAGAGACTTTGTTCTTTGGTCTGATGGTGTCTGTGTCTGCAAATCTGCAAACTTCACAGTGACCATTCTACCTTCTCCTTAGGAATGAGAAAGTGGATGAGTCCTTCGTGGCCCTGCTCTTCTACCTATCTCTTCACCAGGAAATAATTGCCCTGAAATAAAAATGCAGATCCTTGATGTTGTGAGTACAAGACTTTAGGGGCATAAGCACACAAAGCCTGTCCCTGGAGCACACAAAGCTTGCAAATCTGGAATCACAGGGCAGTCATTCGGGACTCTCTGTCAGGGCAGTGAGATTCTGCATATGAGCAGGGACAATTTGCTATATTGACCCAATATATATATGGAATACTACGGATAAAGACCCCTTGGTCTCACCATTTATGTCTCCCATCCCCTTGTCCTGGGTGCTCTTCAGGACACAGGCTTCTCTGACTATGGAGAGGTAGATTTTCTGGCAGGGTTGGAACCTCTCTTTGCCCCAGCCTTTCCCAGAGTGGTATGTGCTGTTGTTCATATCCCATGGCATCCCCACAGTCTCCCTTTCAAGATGGTGACTGGGTCCAGTCCTGCTGCAATGGGGTCACCAAATAACTTGGCTCTTCAAGGTGATGCTGCAATTTGAATAAATCATTACTTCTTCCACCAGTGTTAGATCTATGCGAGTGCCCTGAACCGAATTACCATCCCTTAATGCTGTTTCCGAGGAATAACATTAGCATTCAGTCATTTCTGCCTGCAAACAGTCACAGCTGAGTCTGCTGGGTGTTGATCTGTGCTGTGGGTGACATTGCTGTAAGACTTCATTTCTAAATACTTTGCAAAGCAGGTTCGGATGACTCTTAGGTGCTAGAAACATGTTACAACATGAGGAATATGTGCTAGGAAAGCAGTTCCCAAGTAAGGGTGTGTGACCACACTTGCTGCCTTGCAGAGTGGAAGTGGTGATGCCAGGGGAATAGCTGAGGAGCTGCTGTGTTGGAAGGTTATACACTTTGGGGAAAAGCACTGAGAGTTACACACCGTGACTGTAAGAAACTTCAGTGATTTTCTGGAGTCTGTAATAATCTCTGTGAACTGATTGACCATTTTCTTAAAACACTTAATGATTACTTATTTCACAGTTCATGAAGCCTTGATATAAAGAGGGGCAGATTTATCTGGATTGCAGAAAAAAGCGTTGGAGGATTGGTGGCCTTAAGGAAATGATTTGTTCTACATCCACAGATTGACAGGTGTTTCATTGCGCAAGGAATAATTCATAAATAAAGAAAATCATCAGCACAGTTCAATACACAAAGGTCACAGACACAGTGAGGTGCTCTGGGCTGCAGTTTACAAAACAATCCCTTTGCTCTTGCCTGGTAAAGGGCAAGAAGGCCACTCCATGGGTCATGACACCTCATTAGAGCTCATATTGTTGACTGGTGTGGCAAATGCAGGAATGGACTTGAAACAAAGGGGAATTGGGACCTATTGCAATACAGGGTTGTGTTTCCTGGATAAAGGGACCTCTGATTGGTAGGGATTAGCTATAAACTACTGGATGAACCCTGCCAGGAGAGACTTTTCAGTGTGTTGTGCCATGCAGTGCTCCCAAAGTGAGTCCTGGCTTTTGGTGGGAAACATGTACTGACTCTCCATTTCTACAATACTGCTTTATTTAAATTCATTACCTCCCCTGAAAGAAAGTGGCTGGCTTGTCAGGATTATCTGAATGGAGTGCTAACATCAGAGAAGCCTTGAGAAGAGGCACATACTATGTAGAAGCAGGAGTTCAGCATATTGATATGCTGAAGTATAAATACAAGTAAGAAAAATAAAATTACAAAGGCAGTTTTCGGTCCTATTTGATGTTGAAGTTAAACCTTAATTGTTTTAACATCTCAGCTCACTTGGAGAAGCAGGGAGATAGTAGTCATGGTGTGAAGAGCTTTCTGATACTGCAATCTTCTTTCCCTATTCAAGACCTCCCATTTCTTATCATCCACGTGGTCTAATTACAAACTTATATGTGCTGTATTTCAAATCAAATGTAGCAAGGACTGTCTTTCCCCTCCTGTGGAGTAAAGTTCTGGAATGGTCTTCCACTAGGAGGAGCAGGGACAGGCAAGAAGACTCTGTTTCTGAAGGTGGAGTTCTGAGATCTTGTGTAAGGCATTTTATAACTACAGAGTAGAATCATAATGACATAAAATCACACTTGTGATAAGAATCCTTGGGTTTGTGATATGCTGATGTATCTGAGCGAATGTGAAAGAAGATTGCATAGTCATTTGATCTCCTGTATCTATCCCACATAAATCCCATGCTCAGGGCTGTCACTCAGGATGAAAACTCCTCCCCCTTCCTCCAAGATGTATTGAGTTTCAGAGGCTCTTTGGCTTTCCTGTGTAGTACTGGCAATGTGCCACAAGGGGAGACAGACAGGAGGCAAGACATGCCAGTGCCACTTCATGTTTCTCGTTAGTGGTGCCTGTAATTTGCTCCCAGTTAAGCCGACAGACAGATTACTTGGAGACAGGGCTTGCTGACCCACCTAGTCCTTTATCAGCCTCCTGTTCTCATGTGACAGACAAATCCAACGCTCTGCAGTCCCCCAGCTGCTCTTCCTGTGGACCCAGTGTGATAACCTAATAACACAGAAAACAGCACTGGTTATTCCTGCTGCTCCTTGGTGTGTTTGGGGACTGCTCCCATTCGGGCTGCCTATTTGAGGTGCTTAACTCACCTGTTGGGTCTAATTTTGTCTACAAGGAGCCAGACCTGATGGTCTCAATGGCTCCTCAGCCATCTTGAACCTAGACCACATAGAAATATCAGTGTCCACAGTGCCTCAAGGGACTTCAGAATCCATTGCTTTTGTGCATTAAATTGTCTTTGGAGAATAAAGTATTGGAAGAGGTTCCTATCAGAGAAAGCCAGGATGAATCTGGACATCTTTTGCCTCTTTTGAATTTGTCTTTTGTTGATGCCATGCTGATTCTTTGTAAATCCAAGCCTGAGGCTTTCATGATTTTTTCTAGGTTTGGGAAGATCTTGTAAACCAACTTCAAAAACAACCAGCCAGCTTTCCAAAGCAGCGAGCATGAGGCATTCCCCTGCTGGAGACAGCCTGGGAGGATTCACCTCTGAAATATGTGACTCTAAGAACAAAAACTCACCAGTGGTGGATGAGACATGAATGGAACAAGGCCTATTATTTCTGTCCTGCATTTTCTTTCTCCTTTAGTTTCTGTTTTTGCTTCCAACCCTTTCATGTCATTTGGGGGAAATCTACTGAATTTTATTAGCGATTATCCTTGAGAAGCCCAGAGTAGTTGTCCTAATTTATTAAAAGGGGCTTGTGTAGGAAGCTTTAGAGCTGGAGCCCATCAGGGATAGGGCAGATAAAACCAGCTCTCCCGAGTGTGAGAGGAGGCTGGTAGCTTTTAGGCCAGCAGCACTCCCAGGCACCGGCAGACAGTCGGGTGGATTACAGGGGAAGCGGAGGAAATGGAAAGCTCTTTGGTTTGGAATTTCCTTAGTGTTTGATCTGAATTGGTTTAAAATACAGGCTTGCGGTGTCAGCCGTTCCTGTTTGGGGGCGGTCCCAAAAGCGCTTCGTGTGCCTGTTTGAAGAGCAGTAAGTGGTGTCTCTGGGTGAGCCAGACCCACAGCTCCAGGCTGCCCGGTGACAAAGCCTGGGGATCCCAACCTCCAGGGCTTTCATGCTGGCTTCAGGAAGAGCTCATAAGCTGTGCAGGATCAAAGACGGTAACCTGGCGGGCTGTGGGCATGGAGCTTATACGTTGTGAGAGGCAAGAAAGACTGTCTGGGTCCAAGCCCCAGGCCTCATGGCCCCACCAGCACTGCCCAGCTGCTCTGGAAGCATCTGATCCCAGCCATTCTACAGAGGGGTGCCCTGGTTGTGGTGTTGTACAGCATGTTGGTTTAGGTGCCTGAAATTCACACTTCCTTCACTTTTTCTGCATCCCTTCTGTCCAGAGCCCCTTCCCTGAAAACATCTTTGCTTTTTTTTTTGTTTTAAAAAGGACTATGATATTTTTGGAGAAGATGTGCTGGTGAAGTTAGGTGTATCCAGGATCTACCTTGCCAAGGTGTACTGTAACCTTATCCTCGGATGAGGCATGGCACAGCAGAACCACAGGCCCAGTGAAAAAGAAGCCAGTCCCTTCTGGGCACTCTGGCTGTGTCAAGGGCCTCAGTAGCCCAGGGTCAAGGTCTCTGTTGCATGACACAAGTGAATGCCCAGGGTAATAAATGTCTTGTGAGCCAAGGAGTCACAGAGGGCTATGGGACCATGAGACAGAGAGGCGTCCTGATCTTCCTGCAGATCTATCTCATCTCATAACCAACTCCAAAAGCGTTTCTGGTGAGCTGCTGCCAACTGATTTGGCCACAACGAGCTGCAGCAGAGCTCTGGATACCAGACTGGAAAGCTCTAGCCCTGGTATGTGGCAGTGTTGCTGAATATACAGAGCAGAAAACTTTAATGGGCTCAACATGAAAGTCAGCAGGGCAAAAACCAATGCCAGCCCTGGATCTTACCCCTGCCACTTCCACTTAACTAAATCTTGAAAACAAATCATTAGGTGCCTGCTGGTTTCCACTGAACCCTGCATAAACTTCCTCTTATGCCAAGTTTGAGATAGTATAAAGACTAGTCTAGCAAGTGAGGGAGCCCATGTACCTGAAGGACAGCAAGTGCAGGGAGTAGAGGTAAGAATAGGTTGTGCTTGGGCATTGGAAGTGTAGGACTCCCACCTCTGAGTGGGGGAGATGGTGCATGGCTATTTCAGAGTGTTGGAGACCAACCACTCTTTAGATGTGATGGTCCCAGCCATGAACTGAAATGGGAGACAAACTTGTAGTGAGATTTCAAAAAGAACCTGAAGAAGGCAGGACAGGATGGGAAGGCAGAGAAACTAAGGGAATGATGAGGACAAGAAAAGGGGATTTTTAACTGGTGGTGAAGATTGTGTGGTTTAACCCCAGCCAACAACTTAGCACCACGAAAAAATGGTTAATGGAAGGAGAATGTAATGACAGAGAGATCATACACCATGCTAGAGTCAGGCACTCTTTCTTCAGCCATGCATGTTCCTCAGCCATGCATGTTCCCACACAATGTTTCACTTCCTGGGCAGCAAAAAGGAGCTGGCAATCCCCATGCAGCACTCCACTCCCTTGGGATCTTCTCAAAGCAGTTTCAGGAAAACTTTTTCAGTCAGTTAGTGTGAAACTGCTGCCAGTCCCCCAGTGGAGTCATAAACATGCACCTGCCTTCCTACAACACAGCTTCAGGCAGTCTTGCTTCTGGCTGGGGTGGGGAAACCTGAGTTTCCTTCTAATCACAAGGAGAAGGTAACCCATGAAATGATGGAGTCAAAGGGGGGCTGAAATTGCTGTCCCAACAGGGCTTCCATTTTAGTGTGTCCCATCCCACAAGGTGTTGGACACTGAGAATTAAGAATGTGTTCCCTTTACATCCTGGCACGTCAGAACTTCACTGGGTGCTCTGGGAGCAGTTTTCCCTGGCAAATTCCTGCTCCCAAATCCTGCTGAGCAGAGGCAGCCTTCTTGCTGGTTGGACAGGGAGGGTCATGACAGCATTTCATTACTTGTTGGGTGACTCTAATGTTTGCACTTTTAAGAATCAGTTGGAGGAACTTACTGCAGTAACTTGGATCCAAGAACTGGATGCAGCTGGATAAAACAGACTGTGGTATCCCCAGCCATTTAGCTCTGCTGCCTCCTCAGTCACTCGTATTGTCTGGCAGATGGGAATGATTGAGGCACGAAAGAGATCTAGTGGCAAAAAACCACCAGCGTTGAAGTGAGAGAAACTGTGTTCTTTAATATTTCCATCACAGTGGGGGTTGGAGGCTGGCAGTGGGCTGGGATGTTGGTGTCCAGGCTGTGAAAACACAAAGGCTGGAAAAGAACAGTGTCTTAAAGCTTTCATGAGGTAAGAAAGGTGCTGTGTGAGGAGAGACCTCGGTGAGTTACTCATAGCAGGGTGGCTGACTACAGCTGCCTTCGGAATCAGGCTAATGCTGAGCAAGTTATAATATAGGGCACTTCCCATACCATGCTGCAATTATATGAACATAATCTTTTCCAGGATGACTCATTTCAGCCTCAAATGTTATCTGGATCCTCCCAAACCATTATATGAACTGCCAAATACGAGAGCTAAGGGACAGAACTGATTAACACTCTTAATTACAAAAGATGGTTAGGAATTTTTTGAGCACACATGGGTTTGGGTGAAATGGAAACTGTGGGGAAGGTTGCTTTTGCTAAGTTACTTTTTAAAATGAGAAATGTGTAGAGTAAAAAGCTGAGGAACTCTTGATGATGTATCACCCCCAGTTTTACTATATTTCCTTATAACCCAATTATGGGTTCATAATGGTGTTGAAGCTTTTGTTTTTCTCTCCAATTCACCATAGAAACCAATGAAATCTTATGCTATGTTGGTAAAGTGCTTTCTCTGCCAGATCTGCCAAATGTCCATGTGTTCATATGAAATTATTGATTTTTCGTGAAAGGGGTTTCTCTAAAATTTTAAAAAGAGAGGCTTAGGTGAAGAGCATCTTCATCTTAACCATTTACATGCTTTATAAAATGCAGCATTAATCCTATCTTGATACTATCCCAGTCTGGAATTTGAGAGAGTTCCTCTAGACCTGTTATTTGTATATGTTAGCATTAGTCCCTTCGTGCCTCCAATGCTACGGAAGGAATAGGTGTGTCTGGCTTTCTCCTTTTAAGTTGATGGGGATTGTGCAACCTTTTTGTAGTGCCAGTTTCCTTATGGGCATTTGTCATAATGGGAAAAATACAGAGTGTTCCCAAAGCTGCATCCACCAATGGGGCAAACACAGCCCTTACTGATCCTTGGATCTGGCTTGATCCATGGGGAGAGTCCCAGCTGTGGTGGCAGGGGCTGCTGAATGGCACAGGAAGCATTTCTCCCCCACGTGCCCCTGTGCACAACAATAGTTCTTGCAGACCTCTGAAGCCATTATCACCTTGCACCCAAACCCCACACTTACTGCCCTGGCTGCTTTTGGCTGTGCTGTTCTCCTGTTTAGTGCATGAACTCATCCCATCCCCTTCACAGCTCAGAGAAATCAGTATTGCTGTATCAATACTGTAACCAGCATTACTGTATTACTAGAAGCATGATGCTTTTTGCTCACTCTTTCAAATTTCTGACAAGTCCCATCCTGAAGCTTGTTGCTTCAGGATGTTTTCCTGACCCTTTCTGTATTTTCCCAATTAGCAACTGTGCCCTAGACATGGGAGGTGCCTCCTAGTTCAATACTTATTTTAGGAAACTTAACTTCAATCAGGTCTTTTGGCTTAGTACCTCACCTCAGGGCAGAAAGCACTGGGAGAAAGAAGAGTGAAGACCCTTGGCCTTATTTGACTCTAATTATTAGTGTTAATTTTCTGTTCCTGGCTTTTACATATATTTTTCTGCTAGAGTCTTAGTTCCAAGACACTGCACGAGCTGTATATTGTTAAAGGTGAAGCTGGGTTTCACATTTAGGTTTAAGGTTTCTCCAATCTGATAGTCTGAACGCAGAATGCTGTGATTTACCAGAATCCTCAAAGAACCCAAATAATCGGAGGTGTTCTGGGAGTTCTCTTTGGCAAAGGGCCATGCTGTGTGTGCAGAGTCAAGCTTCTTTACCCTTGCACAACATGTGAAGTGTCAGCAGGATTATGGCTGGTGGGAGCCAGGTAGGGAGATATGTGGTCTTCTTGATCAAACAAATCAGTAAATGAAAGTCTAAAGATAGTAAATAAAGCTATAGGGCTGAAAGGTATTATCTGCTCTGCATTGGTGTTTCTGGGGTGGTGGCAGCTGGGGATGCCCTCAGTGTGTGGAACACTTGATATTATCAGGAAGATAAGGGACATGTCAGGAGTTGTGAGTTGATGTGGAGAGAGGCTTTCCTGTATGTCTGGCAGGACTGAGCCAGATCGGTGGGGATCTGTAGGCTAGCAGGGAAAATGTGCTTGCATTTCCATGAGAGTGAGTTGTGCCATCTCCAGGAGAACTGAGTGGCTGCTGGAATGTTTGCAGCACCCTCTGCTTAATGGCTGCTTCCATGACAGACCGTCATTGGGCTTTGTGTGACAACCCCGGGCTCAAGTGGGGGGTGAGAGCATCTCTCAAGCTTCCACTGGGCAAATTGCTTCTTCTTTAACAAAGGCCCTTTGTCGTTCTTGGTCATGTTTTACATCTTTTCTTGGAGATACATCAGGCACCTCCTGCGTGGTTTTCAAGTTTATTGTCTCAGCCTTGGCCTGGCTTTGTGCCCCCAGTAACTCTGCTTGTTGCTCTTCCAGTGATGTCAGGAAGAGTTTTTTGTTGACTTCAGTGGGAACTGGGTTAGATCAGCACTGACCACTTTTGAGAGGCCCATGCAGAGCGCTCAGTCTAGATAGCATAGCAGGGGAGCCTCGCTCGCTCATCACATCCAGCTTTGTTCTCTGTCAGATTCAATTAACTGAACCACACAATATTTTGCATTTTCTCCTTCTGAGGCAAAGCAGAGGTCTTGTCTTTCTCTTGGACAGTAGGTCTCTGCATGCTGGTAATGAGGATCCACCAGCAACAACTTTATTGCCCTGGTGAAATGCCAGCTTGGCATAGCCTCATGAATCATACTCAATGCTCTGTTCAGAGAACTGAAAGGACGACTGCTGCTGTTAATTTTGTGCTCTTGTTCACTGCCTTAGGAGAAAAACATCATTGCAGAAAGATTGGAACTTCTTTGAGGAGAGAAAGACACAAAGATAAATGGATAGTGTGACTGAGTGTCAGCCCAGAGTGTGTCCCTGCCTTGCACATCCAAATGCTTCTTTCCTTTTTGGTTCCCCCTGTAGTTTACCTGTAGGGCAGAGCACCTAGGATAAAATTTAACCTCCAGGGCCTAGGTGTACCTATAAAATCCCATCTCTTTGCCCTTCAGCCCAAACCTTTTCTCCTTGAAGCCCCAAGCTGGGGAGTTTCAGTCCCTTGGTGGCTCTTGGACCGCAGGCAGTTCCCACCACAGCCTGAGGTCCCTCTGAGCCGTCTGCTCTGTATATTTCTTCTCATCATGGCCTCCTAGTTTCATCTCTGTAGGTAAGAAAATGTACAGTCTTTCATTTCCATTGCTCTTGGTGACATTTCTAGATGCCAGTAACCTCCTGGCCTGCCACATACTGCCCTGTCAGCTATTTATGAGACTCGCTGTGCAGCAGGGCTTCAGTAGATTAATGCAGAACATCTGGGCCCAGAATATACTTTGTACTTCATAAACTGGGAAGCTTTTCCTTGAAAAAGGGGAACTGTGGATTCAATCCCAAGGAGACCCAGCAGACCCAGCAATGCCATCTTTTCAAGAACAGACTTGGTAGAGGTTGGATTTATTGGGAGTTGATTCAGGTTATGCCAGGGATAACAAATGTTAAATAGGAGTGAAAAACTAGGTTTTGTTTTTTTAATCTGCAAGCAGACATGCGGAGGTGAGATGCAATGAGTTTGTATTTGGTAGTGATATTTTCTGTGATAATAACACTGTAATTCAGGGTGGGGATCACCTTGTCCACCTGCAGGTGCCCAAACACTATCTGTCCAGTCAGACCATGCCCTTCAGCTTCCTCAACAGCCACTGTGGAGTAAAGAAGCTCAGTCAGAGGGTGAATTATTGCCTATTGAAATAGATGTGTGTGATAGGAACCCCACAAAGTGACTCACCCCATCAGTCTCTTTCCCTTGATTATTGAGGGAAACTGGGTGGTGGTCCCAGCTTACACCAGCCAAGACTAAGCCAAACTCGTCAGAGCAAGATAAAATCCACCTGAGCTCACTCTGTTTCTAGCCTCATCTGTCTGCATACCCTTAAAAAACTAGTCCTTTCAAGTCTTCACTGCTGCATGCATAGTAAAGTTTGATGCCAAATAGTTACTGGCATTTTAGTGGAGTCATGTCATCCTGCACTCTGAGACTGAGGAGAGATATTGTAGTCTTCAACATCCTCATGAGGGGAAGTGGAGGGGCAGACACTGATCTCTTCACTCTGATGACAGTGATAGGACCCAAGGAAACGGCATGAACCTGTGTAAAAGGAGGTTTATGTTGGATACCAGGAAAAGGTTCTTCACCCAGAGGGTGGTTGGGCACTGAACAGGCTCCCCAGGGAAGTGGTCACAGCACCAAGCCAGACAGAGTTCATGAAGTGTTTGGACAATGCTCTCAGGCACATGGTGTGATTCTTGGGGGTGGTCCTGTGCAGGGCCAGGGGTCGGACTCGATGATCCTTGTGGGTCCCTTCAATTCAGCATATTGTGATTCTATGATTCCATGCAGTGGGACTCTGGGCCTTTTTCTCAGTGAAAAAGGGATCTGCATTTTCAGTTTAAGGCTTCTACATCTTCAGCAGCTATGTGGCTTGGCTTGTGTTCAGATGGAAGCGCTTCCAAGTGATTTGGGAAGAAATCAGCAGGCTCCTTTGCTCTGACATGTTTGATCCTGCTCTAAGAGACAGGAACAATGATGACTTGCAGAAAGCAGGAGACCAGACTGAGTGCGATTGCCTGAGGCACACATCTGACACCCTGGTGAGTCCTTGGGGAACCCAACATGTCCAAATACTCTGAGGCAACACCTGCATTTGTTTTCTTTGAAGGAAAGTCCATGCCAAGCATCCTTTTATAAACAGCATGGTTCACCATCGCTTGCCAGTGCTCAGCACCCCACTCCCCTGCCCCAAGGACAGTGCTCCAGACCTCTCCCAGAAATACTGCTGTCAGGGCAAAGCAGCTACTGTCCATCATAGTGCTTTGTTAAAAATCTTAAGTTTTCTGAGGAAAGGAAATAGGCATTAACATAAATTTGAGCAGAAATTAATCAAAACTTCTCAAAATCAAAATGGGATTTATTTCCCTGCTCATGAATCATTCCAGCTTCTTATTCTTGACTTTTAGTTTTTAATAGTGTTCTGATCAGACACTGCCAATATATTTTATTCCAAAATAAGTAATTTTGTTACTACATTGTACTTCAAAAATGTAATTTTTGTTGTAATAGAAATAGAACATTTTCTTTTGATTCACAATAAATAAACCCAAAATCTTTCAAGCCTGGGTATGCCATACAAGAGGAATTCCATCTCCCATCCAGTCATGAATAACAGCAATATCACTGCAGTACTTTTAAATGTAATAACTCATGTAAACATCACCACTGTAAATCAGTTTTGCTCTGTTGAAGTGTATGGGAAGCTTCCTTTAAGACTTACCCTCGTAACTTTTCTTTTGCCTGGAAATGAGAATTTAAGAATTGCCTTCATTTGTCTGGATCTTCAGAGTTCTGGCAATCCTGTGAATGCTACAGCACTGCACATGCAAAATCTTTGGACATATCTGCAACACACAACCAATGAGTCTGGTATTAATTGAGAGCGTGAAATTTGCTACAAACGCACATGTAATTATTTTCTGCATGCTTTGGAATCATCAGGTGCATCCCAAGCATCTTGTCTTTATACATTATGCACAGAGTCATGTAATTCACATGCAAAAGGGCCAAACTCCACAGGGAGCTTCACTGGGATGTCTGCAATCCATGCTGTGTGCGTGCCCACTCCAGGCAGGAACACGACGTAGTGTGCAAGGTGCCGAGGCTTCAAGCACGGCTGTTTGGTTTTCCCTGGGGGGGAGCTGTTCTCTGCCAAAGGGGGTAAGGTTCCTTGCTGGTTTGCCTAAGAAACATCACAAATCTGTACCCCTCTCTCCTGGTTTTTTTTGCTTTATTGTGTCAAGCAGCTTAACATGATGTTTTCTAACAGGGTAGACACTTGCTCCATCATTGGAGCAAGTGTAAACCCTGGATGAGCATGCCTGACGGGATGATGGAGGAGGAAGAGCAAGAACAAGGATGAATAAGGAGTGGTTTCACTGTCCTGACAAATGACCTCAGTTTGCCACCTTCTGAGCAGCCCCCAAAACAAGGCTGAGTGGTCAGAGCACTGTGCTCTCAAGACCAGTGGCAGAAGGTGACTATAATCAGAGCACCTCGCAGAAGTGCTGTCTGTGTTGAGCGCCATGGTTTCACTTTGCTAAGTAAATCACTTCGAAATTGCAGCTTAAGGTGTCCAACTCATTTGTCAGAGGTGGGGGACTCTGTCACACAAAGGCCTGGACTGGGTGCTTGGAGACCTAGCCTGTAATTCCTGGTTCATCATCTTAATGCCTTAATCACACCATTTCTGAGAAGATTATTTTCCTGACTTATTCTGGGAGGTGCTTTGACACCTGCAGATGAATATGATTATTGATTTCAATGTCAGCCCTCTTTTTCTAAGGGTTAGCAAAGCCACCAGGAGACATCACTTATTACAGTTGAAAAGTTACAGGAATTTTGCTTTCAAAGGAAACTAATCTGGAATCTCTAATATATTGTGTTCTATTTTTTTTACTTTCATCGTCTCTCATTTTGTTCTCGGATCTAGTTATCCTTAACTATGACTCAATGTGAAATAAGTATAGCAAATAGAAATGCTTAGCAATTCATACTTAAAATATGCACTTGGGATGTTAGTATCTTGAAACAAACAAATTCGTGGCAAGAAATGATATAATTTTGCTTATAAAATTATTTTTACCTGGTAAACATCGCATGGAAAATTTAGCGGGGAAAATTCAGGATGAAATCCTGACTTGGTCATAGCCAATAAGAATCAATGAAAAAATAATGGATGATTAAACAGTAGAAGAAAACCAGAAAAGTAATATTTTGTCATCGCTAAGAGGAGAAATTTGACATCTTAGTGCAAATTTGGAAGTTTTTCAGCAAAATATATCAATGCTGCATAAGAATAATACAGATTTTTCTACCCTCGTGGTTCAGTTTTTAAAAGGGTGAAAATTTGCAGCACAATTGTGATGAAAAATTTACTTCTTCTGGAGTAACCAATAGTGCAGGGACTGCATCACTTCCGTGGGATGGCCCTGCACTGCCTTGTTGAGACAGACACTTAAAGTGCAGGTTCACAGCTATTACTTAGTCTCCTCACTTAGACTGGCACATGGGATATTAATGCCTAAGTAGCATTGTGGCCTAGGCTTGTTTTCCATGTGTCAAGCGAGTCCTTTTACCATTGGATGAGGCTGTTGTGGCCTGCAGCTTCTCTTTCAAGCTTTTCATTAGACATCCGTTCTGGCGCACAGCAAAAATATTTGAATATAACCTCTTAGGAATTCTATGGAAAACGCATACTTTCTCCCAGAGGAGAATAAATGTAAAAGATAGATTTAGAACTGTGTGTGAGGCTGCAAAATCTTCCTCATATGCGTGATGTGGAATGGTATACTCTCTATTCCCTGAGCAATCTGTTCTAGTGGAAGGTGTCCCTGCCCGTGGCAGGGGAGTTGGAATTTTAAGGTCCCTTCCAACCCAAACCAGTCTGTGATTCTTTTCAAAATTAACATTTCTAGGTTATACATTCATTTTGGGCACACTGGTTAGTGATCATATGATCTGAAAAACGGTGATGACATCTTAAGATGGTGCTTTATTTGCCAGTTTTCTGAGACCCTGCTGGGTCAAAGCACGTGCAGCTGTCCTTCCCAGCTGCGTGTGTGACTCCTGGATGGTGCAAGAGGCAGCTGTGGTATCAGTGCCCTGCAGCAGCATGGTTTCCCTACATGATGCAGCAAGATGTTGGCTAATACCTGGAGCTGAGGGAGGCTACAGCACATGTCCCTGCTCTTGGTCTTGGTCGAAGCCTCTCAATTCCTGCATTAGGAGTCCTCTGTGTGCTAAAGGATGGGTGCAGCTTTGTCTCTCTAGCTGCATCACCAGGCCCTCTGGGATCTGTGGACTGACATCCCAGTGCCCTCCCTTGTCCTTGTCCTTGCAAAAGCACCTTGCTTTGCCACAGCAAGGCAACAGACACGCGTGGAGCCTTGGAAGGAGTACGAGGGCAAGGTGTCCTTTGCCACAGCAGTGCTGCAGGGCAGTGCAGACTGTGGTATGTGCTAATAACTGGGGTTTGTTATTGGTGCCCGGGGCAGAGATTTCACAGAGTTGCACACTTGGCTGGTGGTGGGCCTGGGATGACAGGAGAGGACCCAAGGGTGGAGCACACACTCACGTAGGCAGCAAAGCCCCTGGGTGCAAACAAGCTTTCTGTGCACAGCCACTTACCTGCAAGGTCTGTGTCACTGCAGAGGAGAGGAAGCTCCGAGCAGCTACTGGTGCTGCTCAGAAACAGTCAATGAGCTACTCAGACTGTGAGATGATGGTCAGCACGTTCTGTTTGCCCTTCTACGGACTCACATGCTCCTTGAGGGACTAGCCCCATGGGACTGCTTTCTCACAGTGAAATAGCGAGCAACAAGTGACTGCTTTTGTCACATCATTTTCCTTGGACAAAAGGCAGCTCCAAACCAGGCATGATCTCAGTTACTTCTGTCTGCACCTAGAACGTGCTGTTTGGCTCACTCCTCAGGAGTCACCTGGATAAAACCTAATGGTCCTAGTAAGCCCATGGTTTGAAACACTGTGATCACCAGCCAAAACCTCAGCCATGGCTTTGGATCTAACAACAACCTTGAACTTTTCAGAAAAGATTGAGAAATACCTTGAAGATCAGATCCTTCAGTCAGCAGAGTCTTTTCCAGGGCTGCCTTCTCAGGGGTAAGTGTCTGCTTCTTCTGAAGTAATGTGTTTCTAGCACAGAGAACCCATGCTTGTTTCAGCATGTAAGCAAGACCTGGCAGCCTTTCACGCAGGACAGTGAGTCATCCTTGAGCAGGAGAGAGTGAGTCAGAAAGGGCAGTTGACAAGCTTTATTTATCACTCTCCTGTTATTTGGCCCGGGAGAATTTTACCCTGAAAAACCCACCCCTGTTAATGACAGGCAGAGCTCAGACTTGTATCATATGACTACTGGCTTTTTTGTCCCATAGGCTTTGGACGCAGTTTCATATCAGGAAATCATGGCAGTTGGCCATTTCCGTGAATTTTTATTTTAAAAGGGGTTCTGAACATACCAGCTATATTGGAATAACTCGCCTGAACTAGGGTTACCCTAAAGAGAACAAACTCAAATGCCTCTGAGTGATGAAAAGAGCCTGGGGGGGGTTCTGTGCAAGGGCGTTTATAGAGTTCCCATTTACTTTCTTCTCTTGAGGCTGCTTTGCTCACAGCCTAATTGAATGCTACTAGCACAGCTCAGTGTCTTGACTGTCTTTTGATTATGGTTCTGCCACTCACAGGCTCCATATAGGGTGTGTCAGGCTTTCCAGTGTAAGTATCTGTTTACAGAAGTTATATGGTTCTGTTGTAGAAATGCATGCCAAGCAGAAAGTTGGCAGGAAACATCACAACTCAGAAATGGAAAAAGAGACAGAGAAAAGAAAAAAAAAATCTGCCTGATGGTTAATTAAGGAAACTCTGCCCTTTGGGCTTTCAGGCCTCCAGCTGGAAGAGAGGTAGCAGTGTAGCAAGGATTTGGGGTGACCATGATGTGTAGTTGGGTGTCTGGAGGTATGGGTAGGAGCAAAGTGAGCTCAAGTCCATTCTACTTGTGTTGCAGGTGGCTTTGGAGTAGGAACACGTGAAGACAGCACCCATTGTGCTCAGCAAGTTCTCTGTGAGCTGGCATGGCAGGACCTGGAGGTCTTGCAAGTTCCTTGTCCTTGGTTTCTCTGGTTCAGTCCTGTTCTTCTTGTCCTGTTGGGGGCCAATGCCTGATACATATGGAATCCAAGACAGGATGAGTCTGCCCATTTTCTGTGCAGAAGAGACAGGCCAAACCCAGCATTTCATCAGCAAAATAAAAGAGTTTGCCCAGTTTTGCTTGGAATCATACAGACATTTT